TTCGAATCCGGGATTAATAGTTTTTTTTTAATTAGATCGATGACTGATTTTCCTGCCTATTCGCTGGTAGCTTATGAGGCTATTTTAACTATGCCTCACGGGCTCAACCTGAGAGAATTTGCTAACACTAGCCCTAGCAAGAGTATTTCTGCCGTGAAGCAGTGATGCGTTTCGGTTTGAAGGGTGGGGCAGCTGCTGTAACCATACTGAGATCTTAGAACTTATATCTCAAGGTGGATGGCGCAATTACGTTGGTGTCTATGGGCTACAGTAACCACTTAACACCAGGTGGGCTGTGAACTCATCCACCCATCTAAGCAATGTAAAAAAAAAATCTTTCACCGGATCGGAATCACGATCCACTGAGAAGATCCGACAAGAAATTCAGTAGGCTGTGTCTATGGGCTAGTTCGCCGCCACCCACCTTGCGGTATGAGTTCTAAGATCTCAGTATAGTATAACGGCTACCCCACCCTTCAAACCAAAACGCATTACTGCTTCACGGCAGGAATAGGCAGGGCGGTGGAACCTACCTGTGCGGACTCACAAGACGTCCTACCACAATGTGTCTACCAGCATTTGCTAACCCTTGAAATTAAATGGTGAATACGATGATTGCGCAGTATACAATACATTTATGTATCTTAATATGAAAGTTCACAAACATTTTTAGTTTGAAAACCATTAGAGCAATGGTCGAACATAAATGACTTTAAATTGTTCCGATTATCGGTTCGCATGTATCGAATAAAGCCGACGTCAAATGTAAAATTAATCGCTCTCTAAGTAAAAAATTCAAAAAAAGACCAAGATCGACTTGTAATTACTCGTTTTATATCCGTAATTAATTACAGGTTTTACATCCATAATTACTTATACGTTTAAAGTCCATTTTTTTTTAATTGTACTAAATGTATTGTCGTGTTTACAGGCTATTTAGTGCTAAGAGGATTAAGCGTTAAGTGAATATATTTAATTACTAAAGCGTTTTGGAAGCCTTCCCATGTAGTTTTTACCCTACCTATTTGTGCCATTAACCAAGAAGTCCATATCTCAAGGTGGGTAGCAGCATCCACACTGTATGCTCCAATATCTACTTCGTAGCTGATGGGCTGTCTCTTAGCACAATATAACAAGAAAAAATCGATACTTTTAACTAAATCTTAGATAAAGCCACAATTGTTACTTCGCATCACAAATCATCAGCCTATAGCAGTCCAGTCCTGGACATAGGCCTTTCCAATTCCACGCCACTGAGCATTACTTTTTAATTATAACTAGCTTGACCCGGCAGACTTCGTAGTGCCTCAATCGATAAATAAAAGACCTAAACTTTTGTATAAAAAAAACTTAAAACAAACAAAAGGAATCCGTCCGACGGGGGACTCATCAAAGGAAAAACAAAATTATTATTTTTATTTAATTCTGAGCATTTTCATATTTATCTACCTTTTAAATACAAATAATTTAAGACCAAAATTAGCCAAATCGGTCCAGCCGTTCTCGAGTTTTAGCGAGACTAACGAACAGCAATTCATTTTTATATATACCTATAGATAGATAGATAGATTATAAAAGTCATTTAATATGGTAAATCCGCTTCCTCCTTCAGTCGATCGCTCATTGGTGAGAATCGTGATGCGCCCACCTTTTTTTGTCATTTTAAGCCACTTAGGTCCGTCAGTGGCTCAATCTAGTGTCCAGATGCTCGGACACTTGGTCCCTAAGATTACTAATACCACATACTGATATCGGAAATAAAATTAATATCCACCTGTTCCTTGTTGAAGTTATACTTCTTTAGGCGTGTTATGAAAAATTGATGAGAGTGAAATTTTACGATGCGCGCGCATCGCGACACAAAATTAACAGAAATGAAGTTGCCCACTAAATCGCTCATTACAATACGACCGACGTAACTTGGTGAGTCTGAATATAGCCGCAGGTGAACTTTCGCGCATGTACGCTCGTAAAAAAAGTGTTATTAGCACTAATTTTTTAGTAATATAAATGACAAAATTATTATTTAATATAATTCATACTAACTATTATTAAATTATTAACATTAAATATTTATTATTATATATTGAATATTAAAAAAAAAAGGAAATAAATTTAATAAAAATAAAGTATAACTTCTTACGCGCGTACATAATGCGTACATAAGTACACGCACCCTTTTTTGGGCCAGCGGTCAATTGGGATTATAACTTTATTTTATTTTATTTCTTATGTGGGTGAACGAGCTCACAGCCTACCTGTCGTTAAGTGGTTACTGGAGCCCATAAACATCTACAACGTAAATGCGCCACCCACCTTGAGATATAAGCTCTACCGAGTAATATCACCCGCTCGGTGGAAGATCTTCCCTTCGTCCCCATAAACGCAAAGAGACTAAACACAAAAATATTTATGCTTATAGTGATTACCGATTTAGTCGTGATATAACGGGACGAACGCGTAAAACTAATCAGTAGAATTGGCGACTGTAATCTAAGAGACATGATTTACAACGTAACAAATAAATAATTCTTTCATCGTGGTCACGTTGTTTCCACAAAATCGACATTCCTGGAATCGTTTATTTCGTTAATGTCAAATGGTGTAACGACACGCGAACTTGATATTTCGAACGCTGTTACGCAGAAAATACAATGATAATCTCAATAAATAATTTGAGCCGTTCAATTCTCCATGTTCGGGGATTCTATTTAATTTCTATTGTGTAATAAAGTAGTCAAATCTGGATAGTCTTCACTGTGATTATCGCAGATTGTATAAGAAATATAAGTTTCTTTAAATTACTCAAGCGCCCCCTATTGACTTTTTTTTTAATTGCTTAAATGGGTGGATGAGCTCACAGCCCACCTGGTGTTAAGTGGTTACCGGAGCCCATAGACTTCTACGATATAAATGCCGCCACCCACCTTGAGACATGAGTTCTAAGGTCTCAAGTTCAGTACAACGGCTGCGCTACCCTTCAAACCGAAACGCATTACTATATTTCCATCTATTCAATAAAATAATTATAATCATCATGCCTTTCCATGGTCTGTGAAGAAATATAAATGGTATTTTTTTGGCAGTCCATGTTAGCATTGCGGTACATACTAGTATCACGAAATCACATCAGCGATTGACTTCAGTCTTAGAATGATTTAACTGAGCGAGCAAAGGTTCGTGTCTAATATTTTTCTAATGAAATACGTACTTAACAAATGTTCACGATTGACTTCCACGGTGAAGGAATAACATCGTGTAATAAAAACCAAACCCGCAAAATTATAATTTGCATAATTACTGGTGATAGGACCTCTTGTGAGTCCGCACGGGTAGGTACCACCACCCTGCCTATTTCTGCCGTGCAGCAGTAATGCGTTTCGGTTTGAGGGGTGGAGCAGCCGTTGTAACTATACTGAGACCTTAGAACTTATATCTCAAAGCGGGTGGCGCATTTACGTTGTAGATATCTATGGGCTCCAGTAACCACTTAACACCAGGTGGGCTGCGAGCTCGTCAACACACCTAAGCAAAAAAAACACAAGCATACAACGCGTATTATCCATTAAGCGACACTACTTCGAATCGATATATGAACAGCACCGACAACATCAATGACTTTAACACTGAGTTTTTCGCGAGATCTCCTGAACGGGTCGCGATTCCGATCCGGTGATAGATTCAGCGAAGCACTGCGGGGCTTGCTTCTTGCTAGGGCAGATGTTAACAAATTCTCTCAGGCGGATCCTCGTGAGCTAGAATAGCCCCTCGAAGCTACTACTGGCAGATACGTAGGCAAAGCAAGAGACCATTATGAACTAATGATACAATAAGGTCAATTATAATTTCAAAAGAATTATTCAGTATCTTAATATTAACTGTTAACTTTGTCAGCAATAGCTACTCGCTACACCATACGCTGCATTTATTTCGTGTTTTAGAAAAAAACTTATTTAAATGTTGGGCTTAAACATTATGCTACCAATATATTGCTTCGTTTTCTATCACAAGGAACCACTTTACATAAAACTGATTTTAGTAATAATGCTGTTAAATTGTAAATTGCTGTTTAAGTTACAGCATGTATTACATTCTCAAGTCTCAACTCTTTGCTCTCAAGTCTCAAGTGACAGATGGTCTCATGATAAGACTAGAAAGTAGACAATAAAATCCTTGTATATCTACTAGTAAACTAATTTTGTAAGGGCTCGTTATACATATTTATCTCAATAAGTTCTCAAATAAGTTATTTTGATTGTTAAAACGATGTATTTTGTTTAGTCGTATAAAATTGATTGATTTCGATATATGAAAATATAATATATTTTAAAGTATCTATGACTGAGCTGAATTTGTGACTATAACTTCCAGTTATAAATTTTTAGCAAAATCAATGCTATAAATATTTACCTCCTCTTCTTTACAAGATTAACTTGTGTGTATTATATGGCTTATGTCATGGTATACTCCGGCGACATTAAAATGCCATCCCGTATCCCTCCAAAATCGCAGACTTTACCATAAACTACCATAACACAACTAATTATGCTGATGGTGTTCCGTCAGTACCGGTCAATACGGCAATTTGATTATGAGGCACACGGGTATTTATTTTCAGAATTAAATTCTCCATACGAGTACGAAGACTAAATCTATTGGCAAACAAAAATTAAATACCATTATTATGAATTCAACTAACTTAAATTTTTGACAAGGAAAAGAAAGTGACCTGATAATTAAAGAGAGAGAGTGTGCCCAAAATTAATAAAAGTATTTTTTTAACAAACATATTAATTCAAAACAGAATTAAATATTCACGAACGTCGCAACACAAATGATTATTCTTAAAAAGACAAAAGCGATAAAAGCACCCCATTCAACCCGAAAATGAGGTATAATTTCACTGGCTATCTCAACATAATAAATAAATGTCCGCCCTTAATTACCCACAACCCACATCCACGTATGAAATTAACGAAAACATATATTATTTTACTTACGAAAAATTATGTTTCTTTTTTCAAACACAAACAGTAAATTTTCCACAAACTCACATCTATAAATTATTTCACAGTGAAAAATTCACACGACTGTCCTTACTCTCGATTGAAAAAAATATTTGTTGCTTTTGGAGTAGCAACGTATAGCTCCACCGGCGGCCGAGAGAGAACTGAGTCGCCTATCCTATACTCATGCTTGTATAAACTCATAGAGCCTTCAATAGTAGGGTGAGAGCTTGTAAATTCGAAAATGTCGTATGTTTTTATGGTCTTCAAAAAATCTGTTTTATTATTCAATTGACGCAAATTTGATTTGATTTTATAAAATTATAATAATAAAAAGTATCTGGATATTTAAGTTTGTTTAAGACGAAGAGTTCGACGTGCGAATTATATTAATTTATAGACACAACCTACTGAGTTTCTCGCCGGATTTTCTCAGTGGATTGTGATTCCGAGCCAGTGGTAGATTTAGCGAAGCAGTGCTATTGGTAGAGCCAATGTTAGAAGCCCTCCCAGGTTGAGACCATGAACTCACTTACCAGTTCGTGAGTAGTTGGAATGGCCTCTTAAGCTACCAGCGTTTAGGTTGAGGAAACAGCCCTATCTAATGTGGCGGTAGCCATCACAAGACACAAGATATTTGACAAATGCCTGAATCTCGCTTACGACATTTTTTGAACAACAACATTCAGACCGTCGGTCTACTGAGCAATATCACCCGCTCGGCGGAAGATCTTCCCTTCGTCATATATCCCCATAACTAACTGCAAACGAACCGAAGGCCCTCCTTATCTTTACCATTACCTTAAGACATTGGAATTATTTTCTTTCACAGAGGACGACTGTTTTCTGACGATGATGACTGAAAATTCGGAAGGCACACGTTGTCTATTGCAGAGGACTCTTTTCACACTTTTTCATGCTGATACATTGTAAACTTACTTCTGATAGTGGTGAGTGAAACTTACTGGTAGTGATGAGTGTGAGTATGCGAAGTGGTTTCAAGTAGTAGGGCTGAGATTTGCTCTTGCTGAAAGTCGTCGTGGCCTAAAGGATAAGACGTCCGGTGCATTCGTATCTAGCGATGCACCGATGTTCGAATCCCGCAGGCGGGTAACAATTTTTCTAATTAAATACGTACTTAACAAATGTTCACACGATTGACTTCCACGGTGAAGGAATAACATCGTGTAATAAAAATCAAACCCGCAAAATTATAATTTGCGTAATACTGGTGGTAGGACCTCTTGTGAGTCCGGACGGGTAGATACCACCGCTTTGCCTACTTCTGCCGTGAAGTAGTAATGCGTTTCGGTTTGAAGGGTGGGGCAGCCGTTGTAACTAACTAGTCAGGTCATAAGTATTGTCACACAGTAAAAACTTTTCTTTTAGAATGCTGGCCACAAAAAAGTTTATTGAATTCGAATTTCGAATTGTTCATGAAAATAAAAATGTACACTTTTAGAATTTTACTCATTTTTAAATATGGAGTGGACGCTTAAAGAAGACCGTGTTGCAGTTATTGCGATGCATCGTTGCGGTTACGCGCCAATTAAAATTTTTAACATACTGAAAAATTTGAATATAACCAAAAGATTCGTTTATCGTACCATCAAACGATACAATGAAGACTCTAGTGTAGATGACAGGTCAAGAAGTGGTTGCCTTCGGTTTATTAGGACTCCAGCAGTGATAAAAGCTGTGAAGGCGCGAATTCAAAGAAATCCCAAACGTAAGCAGAAACTGTTGGCCCTTCAGATGGGGTTAAGCAGAACCACGGTAAAAAGGGTGTTAAATGAAGACTTAGGGCTTCGGGCATATCGAAGAAAAACAGAACATCGTTTGAATGCTCGTCTAATGGACCTGAGACTGAAGAGATGCCGCGCTTTGTTGAAGCGGTACGCGGGAAAAAAATATCGGGAAATTCTTTTTTCGCATGAAAAAATTTTTACCGTAAAGAGAGCTACAACAAACAAAATGATAAGGTGTACGCACACAGTAATGAAGAAGCGAGCAACCGTATTCCGCGTGTCCAACGAGGTCATTTTCCATCCTCGCTCATGGTATGGTTGGGAGTTTCTTATTGGGGCTTAACAGAGGTACATTTTTGTGAGAAAGGTGTAAAAACTAATGCAGTTGTGTATAAAATACAGTCCTGACGAACCTTGTGGAACCTGTTTCTCATACCATGTTCAATAACAGGCACTGGGTATTCCAACAAGATTCGGCGCCAGCTCATAGAGCGAAGAGCACACAAGACTGGCTGGCGGCGCGTGAAATCGACTTCATCCGGCACGAAGACTGGCCCTCCTCCAGTCCAGATTTGAATCCGTTAGATTACAAGATATGGCAACACTTGGAGGAAAAGGCGTGCTCAAAGCCTCATCCCAATTTGGAGTCACTCAAGACATCCTTGATTAAGGCAGCCGCCGATATTGACATGGACCTCGTTCGTGCTGCGATAGACGACTGGCCGCGCAGATTGAAGGCCTGTATTCAAAATCACGGAGGTCATTTTGAATAAACTTTAGTGTCATAAGAATCTATGTTTTGTTAAGTTCATTTTGGTATATGAATGGTTACATAATGAATAAACTTGTTTCAATTATTTTACATTAAACATGTGACAGAATTTATGACCTGACTAGGTATACTAAGACCTTAGAACTTATATCTCAAGGTGGGTGGCGAATTTACGTTGTTGATGTCTATGGGCTCCAGTAACCACTTAGCATCAGGTGGGCTGCGAGCTCGACCACCCATCTAAGTAATAAAGAATAAAAAATAAAAACTTACCAAAGTCAACACACGTCAGTCAAAGTTTCAAATGAATTGAAATAAAGGGGATTGTTCCCTTTCAATCTAACGTAGGTGGGAACCATTTGCGACAAGGAGAGATAAGGCGATGCTATTAACACGCAGTTCTCACAATACGCCTTACAAGCAACATAAAATATATAATTTAGTACTTTGTATTTTAGTAGACAAAAAAATTATAAATTATTCGAAAATAACCTTTGGAATAGATTTATTTATTGCTACGGTCTTGTAGCATCGTGCTACAAATCATCTACGAGATAGAAACATATATTGAATCATTCTGCAAAACCTCAGAGATTTTTACGTTTTAGTGGTGAAATGATTTCATCTGCAGGATTTTCAATCATTAAGAAATTGTATAAAAGAACAGAGACATCGTCTACCCAATTAGTTTCTTGTACCAACCGAACGCTTCTTTGTACGAGTTTAGAAATTTGACATTAGTCATAGTAGCAGCTCATAAAGTGGATAAGAACATAAATTCTACCTTTTTAATATAGTAAACCACACTTTTTTTTGCTATTAAATATTACGATTGTTATGAGATAAATACATACAAGAATACAAGTAAATTTAGAAGGGTAAGAATAAATTTGATTGAAGATTTCTCATATTGTTCTGAGATTTGCGTGAATTGTGTTCGCAGGTGCAAAATTTTAAGTGTTACTTAGTTTTTCTTACAGAATACAATAATTGAATCTCTGACTCCGTGTCTCGGGGTGTATGATAGAATACAAACAGGCCTTCAAGCAAACCTAGTTTAAAAAACTTGCCATTTGATAAATAAACAATTCTAGCACAAGATCGTTTAAGTAACACGATATTTTTAGAAGTTGCGTCTAAAATCTGTGACTAGTGGCTTGTTCGTCAACTGTTTGTTTAGGCTAAGCAAATATTTGTAACGAAAGAAGGCAACTTAGTAAAATATTATTGTTTGTCACCCGTCGGTTTTGTTTGGTGACCGGTACGGTCTTTGCTTAGTTATTAACTTTGTTTATTTTGTATGTTACATTTTTTTAAAGTCCATATCATAATGATTATTTTAGTGAGTAGCCTGAGATTGATAGGAGAAAGGCATTTTGTAAAAACAGTAAATGGGTTTTTAACTTTTCGTTAATTATAGAACCGTGTCAGAGTCTCTTGGATGTTGTCCTGTAAAATCGCCTGTCAATAATTTTAGGCCATTACGTCCTAACCCTTAGGATACTGAAATACTAAGCGAGTAGAATTTATTTTTGTCAATAAAAGTAACCAAACACAGCGCACCCTTTTTTTTTTAACGCTGGGGAATCCATTTACGGATACCCGGTCGACGGGGGTAACGGACCGGGTTATGTCGGACTCCGGCGCCTCCTGAGAGGAAGAATGGGAGAAGAGAAGGGCCGAGGTCCTTCACCTCCCCCAATTTCTCACAGGAGACTACGCCTTGAAAAAGGCGCGCGAAGCACTTGCCCCGCAGAACGACTACCGACTAAACCCCATCGAGCCCCACCACTCCGACTCCACGAAACCCACGGTACCGCACAGTGCGCGCCGAAGGCTCGCCGTCGCCGGTACTCATCCTGTTGCTATAACGAACCCTGGCTTATAAGGTGTTTTGATTCTTTCTTTTAAGTTTAAATGGACTATCAATTCGACGTCCTTTTTTCTTTGTTATGAAAAAAAAGTGAGGTACCTTCGTTTCATTATTACCATAAAGCCACGAATTGCCCTTAGAAATAAATCAAACCCAATTAACAATGCAATGTGACGATTTTTTTTTATTGCCCCTGTAGGCAGATGAGCATAAGGCTACATACATACACGGTTACTGTCACTCATGGACGTCAGAAATGGCAAGTTCAGAGCCAAGCCGCTACCTACGTTTTACCGATTTGTTTTGATTGCTTAGATGGGTGGACGAGTTCACAGCCTACGTGGTGTTAAGTGGTTACTGGAGCCCATAGACATCTACAACGTAAATGCGCTACCCACCTTGAAATATAAGTTCTAAGGTCTCAAGTACAATGGCTGCCCCACCCTTCAAACCGAAACGCATTACTGCTTCACGGCAGAAATACGCAGGGTGGTGGTACCTACCCTCGCGAACTAATAGAAATATATTACGTTATAAAAGTAAAACCTTGAAGATAATGAGTTTAGCAAGTACCTGCTATACTTATAAATCTTCTATTGTGTTCTCATAAGTTCTACACGTCTCATGTTAATAACGTAAATGGCCACCTACCTTGAGATATAAGTTCTAAGGTCTCAAGTATAGTTACAACGGCTGCCCCTCCCTTTAAACCGAAACGCATTACTGATTCCCGGCAGAAATAG